CTTGTTTATCTTTAAGCTTTTAAGACCTCAGATGCTATATCTTTTGATAGCCAGGCACCATCAGCTTTCTTCACCACATTTGTTTATGCACCCATTTTGTCTTCAATGATCATGTCCGGAAGATAAGCATCACAGAATGCCAGGTTATTGGAACAAAGTGTTCTTGCATTGAGGGAGTACTTGAGTAGAGGCCCAATGTCTGTCTGCTACCATAATATGTACATAGATCTATTTCCCTATTGTTATATAAAAATATATTTACATATGTACATGCCTTATATAGACCTCTATAAGTACCCTTTTCCTCCTAGCTCTTTCCTCTATTTCCTTTTACTTTCCTCTTGTCCCACTATCACGTTCGGCCTTCATTCGGGTTTCGGTAATTCTTCTCAGTTATAGTGTCCTTGATCAAGCCCTACCAGGTATCCTATGCCCTCCTCTCCATCAATTTTAGATCACTTGTTCCCTTGTCCCTGGGTTTGCTAACACCCACTTCCTATCCACCACCTTCCCCTCTCCTGTGTCCCCACCCCCCCACTTCCATTGTTTTCTCTTCCGGATTGTTTATCCTGTCTATCTTATCTTGATAGACATGCAGAGACAATAATAAGCACAAAAACAAGACAGAGCAAAACCAAACAACAAAAGAAAACAAAAATCTCAAACAACAACAGAAAAACCCAACGATGAAAAAATGAAAGCGTATAAATAGTTCCAGGTCGGTTTGTTGACTTTTAGGAGTATTTTTCAGTCCAGTGTGATGGGTGCCATGCCCTGGCCCCAAAGTCTATTTTTGACATTCTCTGGGGACTTCATTGCTTTGTTCCCCTTACTTCTCTCTTTCACACCCTTAGTATTTCACCCCAGAGTGGTGGGTACATATCAGGCACAATCCCCGCACTGTGTCTCCACTGTTGACCCTCATAGTGCTATGCGTCTCTGAGGGAGGTTGTGTCTCATGGCCGGCCCTATGGTCCTCTCTGTGCATTGGGTGCTCTGAGCAGGAATATTGTCTGTGGGGCTTGGTGGGACAGGATGGGTTCCACTTTCTCTCCTTCCCTCTTCATTTGCTCCTGTGTGCTCTCATCTGATGTGCCCCTCTCCCAGAGCTGTAGCTTCCGTGCTGTCCTCTGACGTGAATTCTTTGGGGGG